GCCCGCATTTTTTTTTTTTTTGATATCATATTTATCAAGATATTTTTAGTGATTTTGGAATTATCGTATCACTAACTTTAATATTAATCTTTCAAAAAATTCTGTGAAGTATAGATATCAATATGAGTAATTATAACTTACGTACCAAAAATCATGTAAAGAAAAAGTTAAATGATGAAGATAAAGTAAAAGAATTAGAGAATAATAATGATCAAATGCAAGATATCATATATGTGAATGATTCTAAAGATGAAGTTTTAAGTAATCCTGATATTGACGATGAAGAAGGTTTGCATATTTATATAATTGTTTGCTTATAAGTTATGATATTCGCAACTAACTAGTAAATGTATCTTTAAAAGATGACGAATTTGATCGCCATTTTGGCGATAATCTATTTTCGAATGACATAAGCTCTAAGATAGAGAAAATAAATAATAAACAATGGAATATTTCCAACTACAAAGATCCAATATTGAAATTGGTATCAGAATATTCAACAGAACAAATTTCAGAAGTGAAGGAAAATATTGTTGGAAATTCGGAGCTAAATTTGAGTTCTCTAAAGGTAATATACTAGTTTCCAATGGTTTAACATCAGTTTTTTTTAAAGTAATTATCTAATAGGTGTCTTGTATTTCATAAGATCAAGGAGAAATTGCTTTGTTCTTGGAAAAAATTGAATGGTAAATTTTTTATTAATTTATTGTATAAGTTTATAAAACAATAGTAGTAAACTTTTATACGTTCAAGAAAGTAACGATTCAGTTTTCACGGAATTGCAAACCGGCCTCTTTCATCATTTTAATAAATATCGCGACGTCTTATTCACCAATCGATCCGTGGAAAATTCAAAGGAAATACGACAAATCTATGCCTTACATGCTTTAAATCATGTTTTTAAGTAAGAACAGGGCATTATCAGAAAAATTCATTTAAATATTATTTAGTAATGATTGCGTATAATTTAATCATATCTCAAGGACTAGGAATCGTGTATTAAAGAATAATGCTAAAATTACTCGCGCGCATTCCGTTGGCAAAGATATTGAGCAAGTAGTTTTATTTATGTTTTACTTTCAAAGAATTTTCTCTTTTCATGATTATAATTATTATAGATATGGCATTGTTTAGAGAATTTCGTGATCAAGGTTTCACGCGACCTAAAGTTTTGATTCTACTACCATTCCGTAATTCTGCTCTTAATTTAGCAGAAATAATCATAAAATTATCTGGAACTGAACAACAGGTAATTATTCTGAAACGAAATTGGATTAAATATACGTCAAAAAATTAATATGCATACTATTTGTTGTACTTTAACAAAGGAGAATCGCAAGCGATTTTTCGAATCTTACGGTATTTCTCCTGGTGAAGAAAAGATTGACCTAAACAAGCCAGGTTGAATATACTATATATCCAATATTACATATGTTGTGGTGAATATAGCCTAAACTAATTTAAATCCATATATTATAGCGGATTTTTTAGAAACTTTCAAGGGCAATATTGATGATATGTTTCGAATTGGCATTAAGCTCACACGAAAGTCAATAAAATTTTATGCTGAATTTTACAACGCAGACATTATTCTTGCCTCGCCGTTGGGATTACGAATGATTATTGGAAATGAAGGGTAAATTTTTTATTAATTTTATTATGCAAAGTTCAATCTCTAGCATTATTCAAAACCATCTGATTAATTCTAGAGACAAAAAACATGACTTCGACTTTCTTTCTTCCATTGAAATATTAATAATTGATCAATGTGAAATATTTCTCATGCAAAATTGGGATCATATTGGGGTAAAACTTAGTATAAATATAAACGTTGATTACACGAGCGTTTATTTAATTTATCATTTCTTTTTATTTAGTATATATTCAATCATCTGAATTTAATCCCCAAAAAATCTCATAACTGTGACTTTTCGCGCGTAAAGAATTGGTATCTTGACGGCAAGTTAGTACACTTAGATGTCTTACATTTATCTTTTTGATTATAATAACTTTATAATCCTATAAATTCATGTAGAGCCAAATATTTTCGTCAGACTATTATTATTTCCTCATATTTAACACCTGAAATTAATTCATTATTCAATAAGCAAATGCTTAATATCGCTGGAAAATTAAAAATCAA